TTTTCATTGCTCAATTATACATCATTGAACCGTCATCAACACAGTACTTTACATGAACAATAATATCTGGTAACTAATTAATCTTTTTCATTGCTCAATTATACATCATTGAACCGTCATCAACACAGTATTTTACATGAACAATAATATCTGGTAACTAATTAATCTTTATGTGCATAATAAAATACATATATGTAAAAAAGTTTTAAAAAAATGTAGCCTTTAAAGATTTCCAAAACCTCTTCCTCTTACTTTGTTTTAAAAAATTTGAGAAAGTGTCCTAATTCAGATCATCTGTTTCATGGGACTATCGGCGTAATTTCAAGTGACCATTATACTAAAACAGTTCCTTTTTCCCATACTCAATTCATCAAATTCCGAACATTGTCTGGCTATTTTCGATTTTTAACAGGGGGGGGGGGAGGCGGTAGGAACACAAGCGAGGGCTTGCGCCCTTGCGCCCCCCCCCCCTCAGTTACGGCATTGGGAGGCTGATCGCTAAATCCTCTTGAAAGCCATAGTTTTCACCGTTCACCCTTCCCCCCTCTGTATACGCCCTCTTTTTTTCGTTTCTGTCTAAAATTTTACTGTGGAGGCGGGCGCAGATATAAAACTTGAGTCGATCTGTATAGCACATAAAACTTAGTTTATCACCATGGTTTTCTCAGTTCAGATGCAAAACAGAGTTCCAATAGACAGTGCTTAGGATTCATTTCATTTGGATGCAACGTTAATGAGATAAGGACATTTAAGATTTAAACAAATTTTATTTCACAATTTTTGGTTGATATTTTCCCCCTTGGATCCGGATCTGTAGAAATGTTGTGAATTTACTTGATCCGGATCCTAAGCAATGGACTTTTAAGTAAACGTTAAAAGAGTACTGAATTGAGTATATTACTACATACATAGCCTACAAAGATATTTCACTATTGACCAGAGTGACCGTCAGGGTGAGTTGTTCCCCAGGTCTAATTTTTCTTCTTCATTAGTTAGATATATATTAGTAGATACCATTTATACCATTTAGAACTTCTGGGAGGTTGGAAATTTTAAGATTTTTTGAAAATTAAAAATCCACGAAATTTCTCTATAGAATTAATGATAATAGTGTANTTATTTATTTATTTATTTATTTATTTATTTATTTATTTATTTATTTATTTATTTATTTATTTATTTATTTATTTATTTATTTATTTATTTATTTATTTATTTATTTATTTATTTATTTATTTATTTATTTATTTATTTATTTATTTATTTATTTATTTATTTATTTATTTATTTATTTATTTATTTATTTATTTATTTATTTATTTATTTATTTATTTATTTATTTATTTATTTATTTATTTATTTATTTATTTATTTATTTATTTATTTATTTATTTATTTATTTATTTATTTATTTATTTATTTATTTATTTATTTATTTATTTATTTATTTATTTATTTATTTATTTATTTATTTATTTATTTATTTATTTATTTATTTATTTATTTATTTATTTATTTATTTATTTATTTATTTATTTATTTATTTATTTATTTATTTATTTATTTATTTATTTATTTATTTATTTATTTATTTATTTATTTATTTATTTATTTATTTATTTATTTATTTATTTATTTATTTATTTATTTATTTATTTATTTATTTATTTATTTATTTATTTATTTATTTATTTATTTATTTATTTATTTATTTATTTATTTATTTATTTATTTATTTATTTATTTATTTATTTATTTATTTATTTATTTATTTATTTATTTATTTATTTATTTATTTATTTATTTATTTATTTATAGAAAAAAGAAAAGTATTTAAAGTGGGAAAAAATCAATTGAGAATTTTTTTAACACTTGTAAAATTGTGAAATTGGTCAGAAAAGGTAAAAAAGTAAATAAAACTGTTTTACTTTAATTTAGGGTTCAGCATAACATTCTATGCTCAAGTTTTTCAAATGTTCGAATGAAAAAGTGTTGAATTTAAATAGTATTGCCTGAATACTGCTTTGATCTGATGATGTGATCTGTAGAAGTTGACACAGAAAATTGCTTTGAATCTGCCTTGTTTCGGTCTCTTTCATCTTCCAGGGATGTACTGCTCGCCTTGTAAAATATTTATTATCTAAAAAATTTTTATTATTTCCCAATATTGTATTTTTGTGTTGCAAGTGGCATAATTATTTTGATTATCCATCCCGGTTTTTTACTTCAAAGACATGAATTCAAAGTGAAAATGTATCTTTTCCATCTGAAACCGACATAACTTGAGATTTTTCTTTTAACCTGAGATAAAATATCTTCCTCTAAAGTTTCCCGTTTCATATTCAAAGAAAGCTTCCTTTGTGATTTTGTCATGAATTAAGATGCATGTCACTTCGGATTAATATTTTCAATATGCTCTAGTGCGATTTTATTGCATTTGATGCTAATACTTTCAACTTTCAGTCCTAACACATTCAAAAATACTTTTTTTTAAATCTCCCCACCCCCTCCTCACTCTTACGATTATGCTTTTTAAACAATGGAAAAAAAAATTGTTTAAAAATATTTTAAAGGTTTATCTTTAGAACTCGATCTCGTGGCCAAACCTTAAAATCAAGTATCTACTGAATATGTAATTGAATTAAGGCAAGGAGCGGTGTGAATTTCTAGTTTAAAGTGTAAATTCTTAATGTTATTTTTGTTTATATTTATCTTTGAATAATCTTTATTACTTTGATTCTATAGTTTAACATCTTGACGATGGGACAAGAAAGAAAATTTTAAATCCTTAAATGTGTTTAACCCCCCTGCACCCTCCCCTCTACCCCCACCATAAACATATATATGGTAGTAGAGTCGGCATGTTTGATCTCTCCCCCCCCCCTAACCAGGATTACAGTTCACCAACCGAATTTTAGCTTGGCTTTGCGGCTAAATTCTGAAGATGCTATCAACAGCCAAGAAATATTTTTTAAAACATTAAGTCAACAGTATAAAGATTAAATCCAAAACTAAAACACCTTAAAAATTATTCTTAAAAACAGCTAGACTAAAAAACACAGGCGGTCTGGGTTGCCCAATTGATGGGGCTTCTTGCAGATCTCATATCACATATCACAGGAAAAAAAAAGATTAAAAACAATAAAACTTTTTTAAGCAAGAAATTAGAGTCTGTTTGAATTTGCTATTAAAACAAACCTAGGAAACTAAACTTATGGAATTATTTAAGAAATCAGTTTTGTCCTGGATGTGTATTGTATGTCCCCAAGGAATTGTCATCAAATCTTACATTATTTTTGTGTCTATTCCTCATTTAAGCACTCCCCCCCCCCTCCTCTTCTACCCTTTCCTTCTCAACCCTTCTTCATCTTGGTGGGCTCTTTACCTGCTGTAAGTTAAGGAACCAATCCCTTCCTCCCCCCATCCCAGCCCAAAATTCTCTCCACCCCTTGACCCCCCCTCATCCTTCCCGAGTGAAGATAACGTTCATCGCACCTATGTTTCAGGGAACTATTTTTTTTTAATTTAATTTTAGAAACCTTCTTTTTAATTTAAGAGTTTAAAGTTAATGTTTTTCTTTATTATTAAATATATTTATCCCTGTAACCTGTCTCGGCGACTAGGGCAATGTAGTGAGATGGGTGAGGACTGAGGGGGGGGGGGCTAGGAGCCGGCTAGTACTAGTAGACTGTAGAGAAGTAGTTTACTATAGATCTTTACACAGGTTAGATTAAGACAGCTGCATTCTGTGTTTTCTTCGAATTGTTAAAGTGAATGAGAAAACTTGTTAAAAGGATATAATTCTGGATTCTAGTGAATACTCCTAAGGGGGATTTTTTTTATAGTAGCTTAGTAAAAAATATAGTTTCCTCCAGTGATAAATTCTGTTTCGAAGATTGTGACAAATCTAAATATTTATAAATATAGATATCGGAAGTTAAGTACACAAGATGGAACATTTCTCTACTTTATATTATGTATGATTGCTTCGTGTCAAATTTGGTGGTTTAATGCTAATGCGATACAAACTTTAATGTCTTTTTTTCTTATCATGCTTAGTTCACCCTGTGCACTGTGCAATTAAATTCTATTTCCTTTTCACCCTGCTTTCTTAGTTTTTCATCAAACCTCTTAATATATGTAAACCCCGTTTTTCTAGTAAATCAAGTAATCATTCTCGCCCTGTAGATCTAGTGAATCTTAAATCCTCTTCACCCAGTAGATCTAGTGAATCTTTAATCTTCTTCACCCTGTAGATCTATTGAATCTTAATATTCCACACCCTGTATATCTGGTGAATTTTTAACCCTCTTCATCCTGAATACCTAGTGAATATATAATCCTTCTAAGTTTTAACCCTGCCTATATCTAGTGAATCTTTAATCCTCTTCACCCTGTATATCTAGTGAATCTTTATTCCTCTTCACCCTGAAGATATAGTGAATCTTTATCCCTCTTCACCCTGTAGATATAGTGAATCTTTATTCCTCTTCACCTTGTAGATCTAGTGAATCTTTATTCCTCTTCACCCTGTAGATCTAGTGAATCTTTATTCATCTTCACCCTGTAGATCTAGTGAATCTTTATTCCTCTTCACCCTGTAGATCTAGTAAATCTTTAATCTTTCCTACCCTGTTGATTTAGTGAATTTTTAATCTTTCTCATGCTCATAAACATTTCAATTAATGCACAATTTATGTATTCTCCCTCTCAAGTCCATTTACCGTAGTTGTACGTGTATTGTTGTATTGAATACTATATTTAATACTGATTCTTCATTAATCCCTCAGATTCCATCTAAACTTAAAATGTAAGAAAACTGCAACAATTTGGCCATACTTCATACCCTAGATAATCTTTTAAACATTTAATTCATTTTTAACCTATTTAGGCCGTTTTGTAAAATAATATATTCTTTGGTTTTCAGAACTAAAGATATCTCTCCCGAAATCCTGGAAAAATGGAGTCAGATTCTTGTGAAGACTGCTCTTCAGAATCTACAGTAAAATAAATAGTGACTCTACAGTGATCAAATGAATTTTCTACCAGTTTATGGTAGAAAATTAATTAAATTTACACAATGAAACCTTCCAGTCAAATTATAAACCAAAACGTTGAAAGTTTGCTGGTTGGTGCCAGGCCCCCTGCAGTTGGAAGTGAGAAAGGGTCCGCTGTTTTTAGAGAGGTGGCCCACGCCCCTGTTATGGGCCGTAGTGAAATAAGTTTGGAAAGTATTAAACCGAAAATAATGTCACCATCTCCGAAACCGTCGGAGACGGCGGGATTTGAGACGAGAGAACGAGGATTTGAACCGGAAGGTTCGGCGGATATCACTCCGCCGTTTAGTGAATCTAATTCTAACAATTCTACGCCTGCATATGTCAGGTAACGTAATATGTACATTGTACAATGTACATCCATGCACTGATTCTACCTGATTTAAGTGTACGACAGGGTGTCCTACGAATGATGACAGTTGGTAAGGTAAATAGTTTTAAATGTCTGTCATAATTTGTTTAATGTTTAATACCAAAGAGAGAACAAAAAGAAATTAATAGCAGTCATATAATAGTAAAATTCTTTACACATGAAAAGTTCGTCTTCGATTTTTTTGTAAATTCTTATTCTCTCTAAATTTGAAGAAATGAAACAAAAAACTTCTAACTAACTAGAACTCCTAAGAATATTTCTTGTTCGAAAAGCAGCACTCTTGGCAGGAATTTAATAATTACAGTCTGTGCATATGGCAGAAGACATTTAAAACTATTTACCAACTGTCATGTTTTGTGGTACACCCTGTATTAATAATTTCAAACTAATGTACTGGGTACACGATTATGTACTACGTACTTGGTACACGATTATATATTTAAGAGTGGAGATTGTCTTATCTAAAAATAAATATTTACTCTTTTAAGTAGATAAAACGTGTGAATGACATCAGTAAAATACCGACAAAATGCGTTTGAATTATAATTTAACGTTTTATGAATTTATTGCCGGAGTAATCTCTTTAAAAAAAACACAGTATCTTTATTTTAAAGTTTATTTGATATCCGCATTTTCGCCTATCTAATTTCCTTTCGTTCTTTTTCTTTGTCTTTTTCATTGTTTCAATTATGCTTGTATGTTCATTGGAATTTTTATTCCTTTTTTTTAATGATGTTCAAAAACTAAACTTGAGTATTGACACGCCTTTCTTGTTAAGATGGGCGGAGAACTTGAGTAACCTACTGGGGGATCCGGACGGTGTAGAATTATACAAAAGTTATCTTAATACTGAAAACTGTGGAGAGCTTCTAGATTTCTGGTAAGAAGATTTTAATATTACAAGGGAAATTAGTTCTAAAACTAACACTTGGCCCATTTCTACTGAATGTTAGAAATGGGCTAAAACTGGAAAGTTATCTTTTTCAAGCGTATTATCTTTAAATTTAAGCCAAGTTAAACAAACTACACCATAAATTTATAAGAAATGGCCAAAAATATTTATTGAAACAAGAAATGTTAACTTTAAACTAATAATAAGTGGTGAGAATTAGTTTTTATAATTCTTTTCATTTTTGAACATATCCCTATTTTGAAGAAATTACCACATTACAGCTCGTGTCGTGAGACATTTGCTCGAATTCATATTGTCAATTTTCAACTGTTTACGCACGTAGTCACAAAACAATAATTTTTGATAAGGTAAAATATAGACAAAATAGAAAATAAAAACATTTTGTTCTTTTATAATAAAAAAAAACATTACGGCATTTTAGAAATCAAAATATAAATTTTATCTTGTTCTTGCAATGTATATATACTAGCCTTATAGGGCGCGAAGCGCCCATCTTCTAAATTAATTGTGAACATGTTCTCTTTGTGTACATCGTAATACAAAACAAAAATAATTCGCGGATTTTCACAAAATATTGCGCGGATGTTCAAAATTTTCAAAACTTTAATGAAGATCGAATTTTTATGGAGACAAATATTTGAAATTTTTATCATTTATAAACCTTCCCTGTGGGCACGTAATGTCCCACAAAAAATGTGGGCCCGATCGGTTCAGCCGTTTTGACGTTTATTGGATACAAACAAACAGACAGACAAGCCAAATTTATAGATAGATTTAACTAGAAATACGGGAAATTGATTGTTTAAATTGAAGGAAACTAAATAAACTTTATTCTCTTATTTAACAAATAAAATGTGAAAACTTAGATTCAAAATAATTCAGCAGTTAATTTAGGCTTCATAGAATAATTTTTACTTTTTTGCAAGTTATAAAAATGAGTTTTGTTTTGAATTGTGGATTTTACTCAAAAACTGAAAAGTGGGTTTCGTCTCAAACGCGACTTACACTGCATAGACCAGAGTGACCGCCAGGTTCAAAGTCATGGCACTTGTTAAAACCCTTTAAAGCTTGCATGTCTACCCCTATGTTATCATAAAATATTGCATTTAAAATCTGCACTGCGTGTTAAGTATCTTAATTTTATGATTAAAAGGTGATTAAAATTGTTAGTATTTCTGTAGAATATTCTTCTAAATTCGTAAAAATCCGCGAAAATATGACAGAAAATCCACCGAAAATCAGCAAAACCATACAGTATAGTTTAAACAAATCATCATTAGAAATACTAAAATGGAGTATGACTTTGTTATCAAACAATAACTGAATTTTGTTCCTCTCTGCAGTTTTTAATTTTTACCATTTATATATCCGTAGTAAATATTGCAATTAGATATTTTTCAAATGTCAAAATATCATGTTAACACCTAGTGCAGATTTTAAAAACATTTTTTTGAACATCCTACATATATGTAAGTAAGAAAAAAATAATTTAAGGTTTAAGTGTCACAACTTTGATCCTGGTGGTCAATTTGGTCCATTGTGGACAATGATTCAAATTCAGGATATGTTGTCTTGAAAACGGTCAAGGGTTTTAATTAAAAAAAGAACTCCTTTTATAATTTTGATTTAAGAAAATAGTTTAAATTCGAAATTGTTGTCCTTGTAATTCTTAATAAAATGTGGCCCGGGATCCTGAAACCCCAGTCTTTTAATTTGTGCCCATTTCTAACACTTAGTGTTAGAAATGGGCTTCTTGTTAGTTTTATAACTAATGTCCTATGTATTAATGATTTGTTTCTTGAGCTCTTGAATACTATGTCAATCTGAAGGATATAAAAAGATGGTTGGATTGGTTTAAATGAGCATAATGAACCTTTTCTGTAAATAGAATCTCTTGATTCTATTTTCTTTGATTAATGAAATTCAAGTTACCAATCACTTAATTGATTACTCAACACGTTTGCTTTAATCAAGTTTTAATCACTACTGTTTACCCTAGGAGTTAATCACTTTTGAATGATGGGTTGTCTGCCTACTAATTACATAAGTTGTTAATCTACTGTTTACTTAGGTCTCTAATCACTCTACTTATTACTCAAGTTGTTAATTACTCTACTCATTATTAAAGTCGTTATCAAACTACTGGTCACTAAAGTTTTTAATCAATCTACTGATAACTTATGTTGTTGATCAAACTACTGGTTAGTGATTACTAAAGCTGTTAATCAAACTACGGATTACTAAAGTTGTTAATCAAACTACTGATTACTAAAGTTGTTAATCAAACTACTGATTACTAAAGTTGTTAATCAAACTACTGATTACTAAAGTTGTTGATCAAACTACTCATTACTGAAGTTGTTAATCAAACTACTGATTACTCAAGTTGTTAATCAAACTACTGATTACTCAAGTTGTTAATCAAAGCACTGATCACTAAAGTTGTTAATCAAACTATTGATTACTAAAGTTGTCAATCAAACTAATGATTACTCAGGTTGTTAATTAAACTACTGATTACTCAAATTGTTAATCAAACTACTGAATACTAAAGTTGTTAATCAAACTACTGACTACTCAAGTTGTTAATCAAACTACTGATTACTCAAGTTGTTAATCAAACTACTGATTACTCAAGTTGTAAATCAAACTACTCTGATTACTAAAGTTGTTAATCAAACTACTACTGATTACTCAAGTTGTTAATCAAACTACTGATTACTAAAGTTGTCAATCAAACTACTGATTATTCAGGTTGTTAATTAAACTACTGATTACTCAAATTGTTGATCAAACTACTGATTACTAAAGTTGTTAATCAAACTACTGATTTAAAAAGTTGTTTACTACTCTACGAGTCTACACTGATTTCTGAAGTTAATCAACTCAATCTGCTTTGATCTACTACAGTAAACTATTTAAGTTTTATTTGTCAGTAATCTATCAAATATCAAAGAAAAGATTGACTGGGACTATAAGTAATTCTTTTTTTATAGATATTTATTATTATTTGTAGTTCAAGTCATCGTATTTTGTATTTCTAGCCAGTTAGATTGTAAATAATTTGAATTATTGTTGGTTTGTGGTTTATTGATGGCTCTAATTCTAGTTTCGAGTTTGATCTATCATTTCCTTCCGATTATTTATTGGATTTTTAAAAGCAAAAGTAGTTGTCTGGTTGTTAATCAGCTTTGTTTCCTCTGGAATATGAAGTAGTTGTCGAATAACAACGTAACTAAAAGGGGTAAATTTTTATATTTGACAACTTTTATTTTTTATGCTTCAAATGCTAATTGTGCAACAAAGAAGAGGTTTGTAACATTGTTAATGAAATTAAAATGTTTACATTGTCTTACCTCCCATCCAAGAAATAGCAATTCTAGTTTTTGCCTAAAAACTATTTTACGAATATTTTATATTCAGGTTTGCGTGCCAGGGTCTTAAAAAACTACCGTTAGATAATAGAGAAAAAATCTTCCAACTAGTTAAGGTGAGTAATTTTTAACCAAGATTTTACTCGTTTCTTTTTTAAATTCCTAATTTGTCCGTCAATTAATCAAGTACTGCCATCTAATATGTTTCAATTTTACCAGCACAAGATTTTGTTTAAAAAGTTGAATGGAGTATGGAAAATGAACCAACAATTTCTTAAATTCAACTTTTAAAGTTTAATCCTTGCTTCATGCTGTAAGCTCGTAACTGATATTTCGATTAACTTTTTTATTTGTTTAGGTAATAAACCGAAAGTTTCTGCGTAGCAAAGTAGTTCCGATCCTTGAGGGAACCCGGAAAGAGATTCAGGACAAGATTGCAGCCAAGGATGATGTACATCAGGATATATTTGACGCAGCTCAGGTATTGTTAGTTCACATCAGAGGGGTTCATTCAAGATTAATCGGGGTGAACATTGTAAAATCTGCCACAAATAGTATCTTAGTCTATCAAATCTGCCTCAAATAGTATCTTAGTCTATCAAATCCGCCTCAAATCGTATCTTAGTCTATAAATCTGCCGAAAATATTATCTTAGTCTATAAATATGCCACAAAATAGTATCTTAGTCTATAAATATGCCACAAAATAGTATCTTAGTCTATAAATCTGTCACAAATAGTATCTTAGTCCATGAACCTCTGGTATACAATGATAATCCATTGAAGGAATTGTCAGTATTAGCTAATTTAAAGGTTGTTGACCGCACAATTTTTTCAAGCAAAATTTCACCAAAAAAATATGATGATTTGTAAAATTATGTTTTGGAAAATATAGATATACCCTAGGAAGTTGGTTCTGCTTAAACTAATATATTTTAGGTTGAGGTTGAAGAGAGGATGACAAGGACAACCTATAGAAATTTTCTAGCAAGTGAAGCTTACTTAAACTACGTTCAGAATATGCAGATAGGTCAGGATATACCTTCACTAAAGGGGAAGAGAAGGGGGGGATGAAAGTTTTAAAGTAATTGTTTCTTATTAACCTTAACGACCATTCACAACGGTACAATTTATTAAACGATGAACGCGTTTAAAGAAAATGGCGTTATTCTATCTAAAGCAGGACAAATGTTGGCCGATTTTTGCTCCTGTGAGTCGTAGAAAAGCGACACTTTCTAGGAAACCCTTATTCCACTCGTTTTTTATGCGATGACTCGGATTCCATGATTTTTGTTATTTTAGGTGAATCTGATTATTCAGCTAAATGTTCTGGCTCCCACTCCACCTCCTCCTCAGTATCAGGGAAGGGAGTTCTTCATGACGATTCAGGACATTTCTCTGTTCCTTTAGAGGTAAAACAGGGAAATGATTTTATTGTAAAGCATTTTTTGCAAAGTGACTGGAACATATTTGATTTGATTTACTATTGAATTTGCCTTAATTTTGGGGGGAGGGGGGAATATTATATGACGTTCTATTTTCACCCAAAGATTAAAAACCTTTTCTGTAACTCCATGCTTTTTGTTTGAATTATATTTGTAACTAAATAGATTAATAACCTTTTTATGATTCGGGTAAAAAAATTATATTAATTTCTCTAATTTTGGAAATAAATTGAACGTTTATTAATCTAGAATTTAATTGCCATGAAAATTGATTGTTATTAATTATATTAAAAAGTTTTAAAATAAAGTAATTAAGGTAAAGAATAAAAATGTTTTGTTTAATGTCAAATTTTTAAAAATTGGTTATTTTCGGTTTTGACTTTGTACTATTTACAGGGTGAGCGGAATAAAATAGGCTCTCGTGTACTTCCTGTGAGTGCCCACAGTTCACTTCATGTACCGACACACTTAAATGTACAAGCAGATACAACAAGTGATTCAACTAGTGGTAAGTGACGATTGTTGTACTGTAAGGGTCTTAAAGCTGAAAAAAATCATATTTGGTTAATGTTTAGGTATCTCAGAAGGGAGTAGTCATATTACTCCTATGAAAGGACATAATACTACAGCTTATAACAATACGGTAAGACAAATGTTATACATGTTCCGGAGGAAAATGTGTAATTTTCTTTCAAAAATATAGCATTTTCTTAATTGTTTAAACTTTTTAACAAATTATTTGATGTTGTAAGAAAAATATTCTTAACTTAAGAAATGTTTAACTGAAAACATGGTTTTGTAAGATAATGTTCAAACTTGGTAGAAGATTGATTGTTTTCTCAAAATATTGAACTTTATTTTAGAGTATCGAGGAGCTTGAGCCCTGCCTCCAGATGGTACAAAGTATGTCTGCGCTTCCAACCCTTCACGAGCACAGCGAGTTGGATTTAACCGACGATAGACCTATGTCTGCCAGTTTTTTAGGTAATTGTTTTCAATTCAATCTGATCTTTTGGAGTAATATTAATAATTAGTACACAGAATAGAACACCTCACAGTACACCTCACAGTACACCTCACAGTACACCTCACAGTACACCTCACAGTACACCTCACAGTACACATCACAGTACACATCACAGTACACCTCACAGTACACCTCTCAGTACACCTCACAGGACACCTCAGCACTCGGCACTCGGCACTCGGCACTACACTACACTACACTACACTACACTACACTACACTACACTACACTACACTACACTACACTACACTACACTACACTACACTGCACTACATGATGTAGTTTGAGGATGACGACATATTTTGTCTGCTTACAAAAGGCCATTTATTTCAATTTTCAGTCGACATTTTTGTTTGTTATATACAAACAAGTTCCTAAGCTCTCTCACTACGTAAACGTGCTCATATTCATTTATATTCAGGCCCTCAAACTCTAATTGTTAATTCGTTTCAGGATTAACATCGCAATCTCTTATGATGACCCAGAGGAGAAGACATGCTGTTAAACCAGAAGCTCAGGTAGTTTTATCAGATAAAAACTGCTAAGTTATGATATTGTTTATTAAAACTTTGTAACTCATAACGCAAAAATTCTGAATGATTAAAGGTTTCTACTTGTAATATAAATGATTACAAACATTTGATGGTTCGTGACATTTTGCAAGCTAGACAAGGGAAGTTAAAAAGGATTTTTACTTTACATGCAAACTAAATTGCAGTGCTTATGATCCTTTTTTTGATGCGGATCTTGGGTCCGCACTGAACAAAAAAAATGAATTTACCTTTTTCGCGTATTTGTATGCTCAAACTTGAGCGATAAGAATTTTTTTATAATCTTTCGTTTTTAACAGTTCAGATTTGAGTTTTCATAGTGTAAAGTTTTTTTTTGCAGTTTCCTATTGATATTTTGACTTTTGGATCCGGATCCGATCCAGGAAGCCTTAATGTTGCAAATCCAACGGATCCGGATCTTAAGAACTGCTATAATGGCCCATTGGGTGAAGGAGTCCCCTCCCCCAACCCCCACAATGGCCTAATTACCCCCTATGTCTTAAACAAAATTTATTTAATTTGAATTTATTCTATTGAAGATAAAAGAATATGTTTTGAAAGTAAGTTATGATTGTTATTTATTATATTTTTAGGCTGGAATATATCTGCAGTCTAATAGGGTCCCTGCCCCTTACCATGCGTACAATTCTGCGTACAATCCTGTGTCGCGTCAGGACTCGGAGCTACAAAGCCTAAGCTCGGACGCGCACACAACAGATGATAATATGTCATCTTTCACTGAAAGCTCATCCCATTATTCATACAGGTAGACAATTAAAGTAAAAAATAAATTTTAATCTTAAAATAAAAAAATCCATTAAAATATCTAAATCTTTAGTTTAACGTATAACCAGAATACAAATTTTATTTGATGTTTAGACAAATCACCTCTAAGAAGCATATAAGAAGACAGCTACGTAAAGCCCATGAACAGTCCAGACATAACAGGGAAAATACACAAACCTCGCATAGTCAGCAAGCATTTATTCCTAGGTTAGTTATTAAAAGTCAAAATTTATTTTTGAGATAGGTTGAAATAAATAAAAGTTATGACATTGGACGAAATGTTTCCCTTCTCCTTTAAGTTTTAATTTTAGTTTGTTAAACCTGAACCAGTGCGCAACTCAGTCTTTACATTTAATTATACCCTTCCCTAACAAAATATGTAGTTGCGCCGTATAGTTGTTATTAATCTACTGACTTTAAAGAAGGAGGATTATGAAATAATTATCTGTTTACAATTACATTTAACAATACACACATATATGGAAGAAAATGATATCACTGTACAGTTTAAGTTTATTTAGACGCTGACAAGTTTTAACACATTTCTCCTGTTAATGAACTAAGACATAATTGCTGGATACCGTGGGAAAACAAATATTAATTATTGATGACAACTGATATCTACAAATGTCAAATCTGTAAAATTTAGTTTATTTAAAATCTATGCTTATTCAGAGCTAAATAAAAATTAGCATCTTTCAATATTCTTAGTGCAGAGTGAAATTAAGATGCAAGTAAATTTCTCCAATATGCTAAGGAACCCCTTTCCTCATGGCTTCTCATTAGTTTTTTGTCGAATTTGAACAACAAGGTTATGAATTTGATAACTTTAATAAACCTTAATCAGAGCTCAAATGTGGTTAGTCTTTAAATCAAACATTTATACTTATCTTTTGTCGTACGAAGGGTTAAGTGGATTTATTCTGAATATCTCAAAAGGTCAATGAGAGACTGCGAAAACATTAGACAGCTGGTTTCACGTGTTGAACACCTAATCGTTCCATAATTGTTACCACTGTGGAAATCGAGATCAAGCGTTGTAGATTAGTGCTATATCTTGAACAAGAGTTCTGACCCCGTATATTTTGGGGTTCTTAAATTTTAATATGTGGCAGTGGTAGCTTGACCACCGATAGAAAATGGTTCAGGTTCACCCTGTACTCCAATATCCATATACTAGAAGTAGTAAACTCAGACTGAAAACATCAAAGGACCTGGTTCTAAAGGAGGGGGATATTTGGATCCGGGGGGGGGGATAGATTAAAGGAAGAATGGAGGCTGACTCGAGGCTGGCTGGATAGATCAAAGAGAAGGTTGGGGAGGTCCAGGATTAACCTCTCGACTAGGCTACCCTCACACAGGGATCCATATTCGCGCAATACGGTTTTATTGATTATTAATTTTTATAGCAAGCTAGGAACTACAGTTTTTATCGTACTTTACGGATGACAAGTGAACAAACTCTGCACCGCTTCTCGGGAAAATACTTCATAATATGAGTAGACAACGTTAAAAATAAGTAATAAAAAACAGACCGCCATTTTTTCATTATAATTAGGTCTCTCTCCCATCAAATTTATTAATGAACTCAACGCAATATCTTTTAATTTTGTAGAACGGCCCGTGTACCCCCTGAAGCTACGAATCAACTTCCTCCTGCTGAATTTGCAAAAATCCTTACGCAGAAGCTTGAAAAGGTAATTTAGAAACTTATTTATTTGGACATTGTTGTTTTATACGATGTATTCTTCAATATTTACAAATCTTCTACACTACAATCATCAGTTGTACATAACAAGTTTGACTCTTGGTCTCATTGTATGTATGGTACATAAAGATCGGACGTTTTAGGACTGCTGCGAAGGAATTCGTTCAAAGATCGTCGACTTAACATTTACAAACTTATAAAATCCCTAATAGCGAAAAAAAAAAAACATTTTTGCGTGTACATTTGCTGAACTTTTATTTCTGTTCATCGCATAAACAAAGTTAATTAATTTTAATAAGTTTACTAATCAGGTAAAAAGAGAACAAGAATCAAACGAGAAGTTAAATAGAAAACTTGCCTCTGAAGATTCTCGGTCAATCATTTCACAGGTATTTTTGTAATCGTTATGTAATCATTCATTTAATAATTTTGTATTAATTTCATTTTATTTATGTTAATTTTTTACAAAATATTCATTCATCCCATCATAATTGCAATAATTGGTCTACGTATTGCCCACTATACTAATGTATTATTTATTAATTAATTCACTCTTTTTAAACATTTGTTAATTCATTTAGTCTCCAATTTTCATTTCTATTTATTTCCTAATCCATGTGTTAATATTATCTTGTTCTAGGATTCCAGTAGAAGTATAGCAAATATCCTGGGGGAGAATGTTAGTCTCCAGGTACTCCCTGAACCCGACCTGGAGGAGTCGGATCAATCTATCCTGGATCAACATGTTCTCAGGATCTGGAAGGATAAGACTCCGCTAAGATCTCCCGGGGATCCGGCGGGTAGACCTCTCTCCCCTGGCGGCGGGTATCGACGTGGTAAATCTCAAGTCATGAGCTCATCTTTAGGACCCATGCAGCCTCATAGGTTAGTTTTTCTTTTTGAAAATGAACAAATTCAGCCTCATAGGTTGGTTTTTATCCATCAATTCAACTTCAAAATAGACCAATTCAGTCTTATAGGTTAGTTAATATCATTTCAACTTCAAAATGGACCAAATCAGTCTTATATGTTGGTTTTTTATCATTATAACCTCAAAATGGGGGAGTATTCTTAGATTGAAACATAATCAATAATCGCATATTGGACAAAAATGTCATCATTCTCAATGGATTCATTGATTCCAGAACGCTGCCCAGTAGAGGGAATAGATCTCAAGTGAGAAGGGTTTCAGGACATCAAGTTTATCACCAGGTAACTTCCATATTTGGCAAAATATTATAAAATATGAAATCTATCTTATGGGAAAATGTCATGTTGTGAAGTAAGCCGGTTTTTAAGGATTATTTAATTATTTTTATTTTAAAAGTTTGATTAGTTTATTTTATAAAAATTATTAAGAATTAGAGTTGCTTTTATTGATAGGATTGCAAAGTTAATCTTAATTATGTTATGTCAGATTTTTTATGTTAATTCAACTAATTTTTGCTATTTGCAATTGAAAAATTAATAATTATTTGACAAAAAGTTCAAATCTAATTATGATTTATTTAAGGATCTTGCTTACTACGAGGTTGACCGTGTGACAGGTCGCCAGAGTGTAGGAGGGGTGAGGGGTGAACCTGTTCGACCTTGTTTAGGAGTGAGAGTGGAGCCAGGAAGACCGGGTGATGGTAACACTAGCCGGGTGATGGAATGGATGCAGGAGGTAGCCCGGCATGCTGGTCAACCTGATCAAAAGTCTCAGTCTAGCAGGGGAGCTAATAAAACTTCACCCAGGTAAAATATTAAAAACAGTTAATAATATATTTAAAAATTCTAGATCAAATTTGTCTGAGGGATAGATTATTTTTTTATTTTATTTATGTAATTGCTACTTAATTGTTCGAGCTCCTTTGATCAATGAGTCCCCGAAGCAACTTACATTTTACAGTTGTATCACTTTTAATACTTTAAAGAACGTAAGTTTTTTCAAATCTTGACTAGGATCAAGTTAAACGTGTTCTCGCTCGTTTTTACTTTAAAATCCCATTTTTCCCCATTATAACTTAGACAACCATCGTTTCTCAGATGAAGGTGTAACTTTTAAGTCAGTTGACAATCCTTTAATCATTTATAATAAAGATATTTTTAAAATAATTTAATTTAAAACTAGATCATCTCGACCTAAGCCTGCTCATCGGTCCCAGTCCCAGGAAAGAATGTCAACCAGCTGGGCTGGTCACCATCCTGGTCAACCACAGTATCAGTATCAGGTAGAGAAAACAAAATTACTTATCTTCATATTCACTAAGGGGTATATTTTCAAGGATTCCTCCCCCCGCCCCTTTCCTGAAAGGTGGATAATAAATTGCCCTGTAGCTAGCAAGTATTTTCTCTCTTTTAAATAATTTTTACCTAAAACTTTTACGGCTTTTTTTAATCAAATAGAGTTTTCGTATTTATTTTTAGCGTTTATTTTAACTGAAATAATCAAAAAATTTGTGTTATTAGATTAATAAAATGCATATTTGTTTAGCCACAACAGCCGACACCTATGCAGCTGGAGGAGGCAAAACGTAGATTAATGATGGTAGGACATAATTCAACCCATTTGGGACATAATTCAACTCACATGGGTGTCCCGCCACAACAACAGCAGCTGTCCCAAAGCAATAATTCAACCTTACGGAAATCCTCCGCTGCAACCGGGACAGAGTTTACTGTTGCAGGTAATTTCAAAGTGACCCTCCACGCAAAGATTGCCATGTCCGATTCACAACGGGAACCCTTGAAACCTTAATCTCAACATAATTGTGGAAGATGACGTCCTTGTTCTGACTCTGAAAGTGTTTATTTCTGTGAATTTCTTCATAATGTCTCATTAGCATGAAATGCTCAGATCACTTTGGCAGAGAACCCCTAAATAAAAATATTCAATTTAAAAAACATATACCTGGCATACACAGAAAAAAACAGAATCCTAATAAAATAGGTCTTCTAGATTTCATATAGACCAGGGCAAGTGGAGGAGCTCAACCCTGTTTTCATTGTATTATAGCCTACAGTTCATGGTTCTTTGCCTATAGGTTGATTGTTAATAATAATAGTAATGGAGATTTAAATCATACTTGACCAGATCGATTAAGATTTTTTTGACTTAAGGGTATCATTGTAAATCGGGCATTGCCATCTTTGCATGGATTGTCACCTTAAAATACGCTTACCTTACAGCTACTTTAAATTAACATATTTATTAATATACATATTTTTACATTCTTCATGCAGTGGGATACAATATTTCACCCTCCTATATTTTTTTTGTGTTCATCTATCCGCTCAATATTTTTATCTTATTTATCCTACATTTATATTATAATTCTTGCAATGCTTATCTTTTATAGAAATATCTAATTCTTTAAAACGAAGATGATGGCAGATGAATTTCTATTAGTAATATTTTAAATAGTATTTTTATTTTAAAGCTGTTTAATCCTGTAACATGATCTTAAAATACCACATATCATTCAATAGTCGATCCCTTTTTCATGCATCTAATACAAGCATATTATTTTTTAATACAAAAGTAACTCGATTTAAACGCTAATTTTCTTATTCTTATATCTTTGAAACCTAATCATGTAGACACCTCTGATATTTCAAACCAAAAATAATTATTACTCAAATAGTATAAAATTTGATATATCATAGAGCTTAAAAAACTAAGATTGAGGCAAGTATATAATGTTTTGAATCAATATATTGATTGATTTTTTTTAGTTTACACCTTCAGCCATGAACGTGAACCTATGCCTTACCGTATCAAGATCCCATCTCGGGCCGTCACTCTAAAAGCAGTCAAAGATCTCCTACCAAAGAAAGGGGTATTTAGGTATTGTAGATATCACGTTAACTAAGCTGGGAATTGTATTTGGGATATTAAGATCAACTTTGATTTGGATCCTTTGTTAATCTGTTTAATCTTTATTCGATATCCCACAGTGTAATTGAATCCTTAAAGAGTTTAATGAAATTAACGAGATAAGCATTTAACCCCAAATTTAACGTGGATATCGAGATCAAGCGAAAGTGATCATGAGTATTTAACACAAAAGTTCCCGTCTTAGATCATACTTGTTAAATATTTTCTTTTTTTATCCCCGGCCAACACCCTAACAAAATAGAATTTAAAAAATCCTATCTTATTTTTTGTGATCTTTGTTCTCATTTTAAAAATTTTTTAGGTTTTATTTCAAGACCGAGGTGGATGGTGAGGCCTGCTACGAGGAGGAGACGGAGGATACCAGTCTTGTTCCTCTTTGGGAGGGGAAGGTGTTGGTTCAGTGTAGGATAATGGAGTAGAACGAGAGGAGCTTTGGGTTAGAAAATCTTCAAATTTTAATGGAGTTCAGATGGGTCATCTATTGCAGATCCTTCTTTATTAGAAAGTCCTCTGTTTAGATGAACCAATATTGATGGGAGTCCTAGAAAAATTCTATCATTCAAAACTTTCAATCAATGGATTCTTCAATAGATTCCTCATGAATGAAGTTTGGTGGAAATTTTACAACAAATCTTCTATCAAGCTAAGCTCCTCTCCAATAAACGAATATTCGATTGTTGCAATAAAAACTAGAAATTGTTTCTCCCTTAACTCTCCAGGCTGTTGAAAATAATGAAGTCCAAGTTGACATCAATAATGGAGTTTAAGAGTATCCATTTTATAAATGGAGTTTAGCTTATCTTGATTCTAGTAAAGGATCAAAGTGGCGCTAAGGAAACGCCAAAATATTGGATTATTCTTTATCAACGATAGCTCTAGCTCTAGACCGTCAGAAAAGCTCAAGGTTTGACGAAGACAAATTTGATTCCTGAGTTATTCTTTCAGAAAACACTAAAACATAGTGACTTGAAAATTCGTAAATTTTATATTTTCCTAGCATATTAATTGACAAATTTGGCAAGATGGCCGGTTAAGAATTTCTATGGTTGTGAATCTTTAAATATTTGAAAGAAATTCTGTGATAAACTGCGGAGCACGCGAATATACATTCAGTACATGTCTTCCTTTCAATACTCGGTTCACGTCCTTCTCCTCCTTGGCTGACAAACAGTATAATGAAATCCAATTTAATTGTACACTTTTATACTTAAATGTGTTTTCCTATTTTTATGAATTATTGAATTTTTATGAAAAATAAATCTTTATCAAGCTCTTTGGTTTATTTGTAAAAAACATTTTTTTAAATTTTTTTTTATTAATGGGCGTCATAAAAATCAGCATGACTATAGTTTGTTTTATTCAGTGCGCATAATTGGCATTGTTAAAAATAAATATATTTTAAACCCAGGAGCAGTAATGGGAATAATATACCATTAAAATTTTATGGCAAAGGGACTGTATTAATAAGTGAGATAGTTTAAACAAAAATTTTAATAATCAACGCAACCTTAGCGGAAAAAAAGTCCATTGTTTCAATTGAAGGCTTCCAAAACACCCAAAATAAAATTCTTATAATTCCTTTTGCTAACATTGAAAACATACAAAAAATCGATATTGTTAGCAATATGTTTCTGGGTCTGAAGCAAACAATTTAACAGTCGAGATCTCCCAAGTCCCACTCTATGTAGCAACTAGATATTGAGCAAGGTGGGGGGGGAAGGCAAATAATACCGGGGGGGGGGGGGCAGGGGAAAGGTGCATTATACTCAACCATGAAAAAACTACCGTACCAATTCAGGATATTTTGGGGCTAAATTTTTATATTGGGGGGCAAAATCTTTTCAGTTTGAGGCAAATTTGTGTGGGAAAAATCTTAAATCTATTTTTCAAGGCAATTTATTTTTTGGGGTCAATTTTTATTTTGGGGAAATCTTAAATCTTTGTTTTAAGGGCATTGTTAAAGTATATGAAGGGGCTTTTTTTAATCAAAATGTTATTTTTTAGCTGGGCGTGAAACTTCTTAATTTCAAGGGTGTATTTATTTAACACTAGCTGAAGGGCCCGGCGTTGCCCGTGGAAAGAAATGTAGAAAGAAATTATTTCGATTTTTTGCCTTTAAGTCACCTATGAGTGACCACAAAAAATTTCAGTCCATTTAGTCAAGCCGTTTGGCCGGCTATAGACAACATATATATATACGAATGTCTTGTTTTTTTTTGTATAGATTTGGGGATAAAAATAAGCTAATTTTAGGTGCAAATCATAAATATTTGTAGCATTCTAAAAAAGGGGGCAAATTTAAGTGTGATGGGGCAATTTGGAAAAGAATGTGCGAGTATAATTTTAAAAATCCAATTTGGGGCCATTTTTTTAAGAAAGGGGTCAAAAAAAAGAATCCTTGTATTGAAAAATGTTAAAGTGGACTTTGAGGTTGCTTTAAGAGTTGGGGGCATAAATGAGTGTAAGTTAAAAAATTACTGCTGGGGCCAATTTTCGAGAAAATTAGTAATCTAGTTGCTGCTGATGTATCAATTCAAGTAATCCCTGTCCTTTTATTAGAAGTAAGGACATGGTAGTCATAGTTATTATTTATACTTTATATAAAATAAACATTAAATTGATATACAAATATTATTTTAAATCCAAAATATGGACGTGGTCTACCTTTTAGTGTTCAAAATGTCGGCGTTTTATTTCAGGAGATTTCATCTGATGTTAGAAAACACCAATATGAAAAACTTTGAAGAAGTTTGCAATTACCAGAATTACATATGTAAAGAAGGTTGCCAACATTTTGGAAAGTTTTGAAGTCATAAATCATTTCTCGATGTTTACACTTTTTTATATTATTGCGATCTTAAGAAGTCATAATATCAAATGTATAACTCTCAAATTAAGATTGACGAAGACGACATAAATATCTTTAGTTTTCTTTCTTAAATACTTCAAAATACACAGTGTTCACAGGATGTTCACAAAAAATACTAACATATAAATACATTTTAACTATTCATAAAAGCACAAATATCAATTCTAAAGAATCTGTTACATTCGTTTGTGAATTTAAAAAAAAAGGAGTTTTAGTTTATGTAAACACCCAACAGAGTTCCCATATACAGAGCTAATTGATTCCAACCATGATCTAAGATTCTTTGTTAAAAATACGTACTTTGAACTCCATTACAGCATATACAATACATATATAAATTGAAATCAAGGTTTAAACTACTCCGTGTATTTTTCGTCCTTGTGTTTATAAACTATTGAAATCTAATCTAACAGTCACCATATTCATTTGTAATTTATTCAATTCCAATTCAACGAATGCATCAGAAACAAAACAAATACAATTTCATCATTTTAAAGGGATTGTTCACTTATCTAATAATACACACATGAGCATATTGACTCATTTTTTAATTGAGGATCACTCTACTGTGCTGCGCCTAATACCTGCCGCTGTGTTGGCCCCCCAGCAACTAGGGATTGCCCTATCAGCATCTGCAGCTGAAATGTTGGAAACAGCCACCCTGCCTATTCAGTACCTTACAAGTATACCAACATGAGCCTTGATACAACAGGTCCTTGCTATGTACCAGGGAGCTGTAAGGACTGGAGATTCTATTGAGCTGAAGCTATGGTGTCGAGAAGGGAAATAATTCTTTACCTTTTCCAGATCCCGCCCAACAAGAGGAGAAAGAGGAGACAATTTAAACCTTTCTCTCAATCCTTATCCGGGCCCCAGGAAACCCACCAGTCTAAGGTAAGGTCCCAAGAGTCCCTCTTTACAGTTGTGAACTACCAGGAGAATCCAGAGTCCCGGGTTGGATTTTAGAAGATCCCCAAGTCCCTGTCAAGTTCCGAGGACGGGTCCTAGAGAAACCACCAGTAAAAAGAGAGGTCCCCAAGAACCCCCCACCCTGTTGAGAGGTCCCGAAGATCCCCCCAGTCTACGGAGAGGTCCCCAAGAACCCCCTTCCTGTTGATAGGTCCATAGGATCCCCCCAGTCTAGTGAGTGGTCCCTAAGAACCCACCAGCCTGTGGAGAGGTCCTAAGATCCCCCCAGTCTGATGAGACGTCCTTGTGAACCATCCAGCCTGGAGAGAGGTTTCGTAGAACATCCCAGCCAGAGGAGAGGTCCCTGAGGACAATCCAGCCTGGGGTGAAGTCCCTGAGTAGTACTTCTCTGACAAAGGAGAGGGCCCTGAAAACCCCCCAGCCCAAGGAGTACTCCGAAAAATGCCCAAGATTGTCCGTGTAATTAATGTGATAGATCAAAGAGGAGCATTAAACTCTTTCTACTCCGCAGAGAAAGAGAAAAACACGATCTCAATCTCTTGCTTCATCTCATATTCCTCAGGTGGATGGAGATGATAGAGACTTAAAGGGAGTATTCGCGAAAAATGAAACGGGATAAAGGCTTAATGCGATAAATACGCGCTTTTGATCAGTACTAATCTTACTTCTATCTGTTGCGTCTATAAGAAGAAAATTGTTAAAGACGTCTCAAACCGAATAACTTAGCGCCCATACAAACTCAGAAAATTGCAACATACGACTTAGACCGTAAAAATTCAATTTAATTTCAAACAAATCATTCAGATATTACAACCTCTGGTCTTTGATTATCTTTCGTCACATTTGTGCATAGTTCATATTTTATAATATTTTATTTTCTAGAAAACGTTTTCAACGGATTTCGAAAATTGTGAGTGGTGTGCGACAAGAGAAATAAACAAATTAATTAAAAAATATTAAGTAAGTTTTTTTATGAGGTCATAAATTGTTGGAAATCCCATTTTATAACAAAGTTAAGAGTGATACCGAGTGCGTAATGCATTGTAAATATTTGCTAAAATTATTCATAAAGGTTACGATAAAAAAGTGTTTGAAAATATTTCAAAATAAAAATAAAATTCTGATAATATTTTTTTCTCAGAAGTTAGAGGTTGGTGAAAAATTAAAAACTTTTGTATGTTAAAGGTCATGAATCATAGAATTGCTTTATTGACATTTTCTGTTATCAGAAACCTTGTGATTTTGCGGCCGAAAAAACGTATAAAGTATAGATAAGGTTAACTCCTAACTAGATATCAGTAAACAACTGTATTCTCCAGCACCAGGTGAGATTTAGAATTTCCTGCGAATAGGGAAAATCGTTTAGCGAAAATTTCACATTTTTCGCGAGAAAAGAAGAAAATGCTCGCCGATTTTTTTTTGCATTTCGTCCGCTCACGCAAAATGCAAATTTTTTTGTTTTTTATTCGTGAAATTTTGCTTTAATCTGTATTGCGAATAAATGCGAAATTAGAAAGGCGAAATTTCGCGAAAAAAGTGAAAAAATTTCGCGGAGGAAAAAAGCGAACATTTGAGAAAAAAAATGAAAGAAAGAGAAAGAATTAATTATGATATTATTTAACTTCTCAAACTTCAAAGTAGGAAATTCAAAAAAGTTTTTTTTGTTGCAATTAATTGTTGCAACAATTATGGTTTTCGCGGATTTTTTTCGCTGAGATATTTTCGCATTTTTTCGCGAAATTTCGTATTGTTTTTGCATATTTTCGCTTAATTCATTATCGCGAAAAAATGCAAAGTTTCGCGAAAAAGTTTGCATTTTTTCGTATTTTTTCGCAGAATTTTTCTTTCCCTGGAAAGTGGAAACCCTAGTCAGATTATTATAACAGGACCACCCATTAAGGATAAGTATTTTATGAGACCTTTAAACTTCTTAAATATCGCGATTTGAGAGATGTAGTTTCCTAAAAAAAAGACAAAATAAAATTTTGCACAGTCGTCTCTGAAGTCTCATATTTTTGTGTAACCCTGTACACAGGGGGAAATGAACAAGATATTTCAAAAGTTTATAATTTTTCATCATAATTTTGCATAGGAAATCCATTCCTGGCCAATGTTAAACACCTTTTAGAGTAAATCATACCCTACTCCGCTATTTTAAGTAATAAAACTAATGGCTCATACTTAACTGAGTCTGTCCTTTCCGTAAATTCATCATAAAGTGTTAGCAAACGAACTTAAAGTTTAAACGTGTCCAGTGCTCAGTTTCTTTCATACTTCAGATTTCTAATTTGAAACTGTGGGAAAAATTAGGTTTTTTTAGCACTTTTTAACTTTTAAAGAGATTCATTCAGGGAAAATAATTTTGTAAAACTTGTATGACATTAAACTAAGTGGGTTTAGCGGAGCCATCTGTTAAAATAAATCCCTATAAAACCTTTTTTAGGTCTTAAGAAAACGAAAAAATGGGCGGAGAATGGAAACATGGAACATTTGACTGCTCCCATGACATGGGAAACTGTAAGTCAAATCTTGAGTTGCTAAAAAACTGCTTTTTTAAATTTCGATCCCGATCGAGAGTAAACTGATTCTGATTTTGATCTTTTTATAATTATGAATCTATAGTTTTGCTTTTGTTATATAATATATGTAAATTTATGCAGTTAAAAAAATTTATTCCCAACATTTTTTGTTGAGCTCGTATTTTGATTGAATGAATACAGTATTTACCCATAATATTTCTATAACAACAACCTGTCTCTTTAAGGTTGTATGGGTTGGTGTTGTCCCTGTGTCCAGATTTATACTAATGCTGAGAAACTAGATGAGAGTGGAATTCTTTGCTGTTTACTGAGGTAACTTAATTATTCAAAAATATATTGTAAAGAGAGAGAGATAATTCTAATAATAGTAATATATAGTTCATTGCCTTTTAATTCTATTTCTATTACAGTTGCATCGCCCCCTGTATTGCTATTTCTATTATTATAGTTGCATTGCCCCGTGTATTCCTATATTCATGCTCCGAAATAAAGCGAGAGAAATGAACGGAATTGAGGTATAGTATAAGAAATAATATATTGTAAAGAAAAGAATGTTTAATTTCTTGTTAGCCTGAATTTTATCGGAGTTTTTTTAGAAATCACCTGATAAAGATAAAGAAATTCATATACAATTAATATTGATAATGTTATAAACTTTGAGTAAGCATTATTTTCTTGAGTTTTCTAAAATTGACATTTTCACATCGATTTTCTTATTAATAGATTTCTATAAAAATCCCTTAAAGGGAGTGTTCGCGAAAAATGAAAGGGGGTTAGGCTTAATGCGATAAAAAAGCGCTTTTGATCGCCTCTAATCTTACTTCCATCTGTTTCGTCTATAAGGAGAAAATTGTTCAAAGACGTCTCATACCGAATAACATGGCGTCCATACAAATTGAGAAAATTGCAACATACGACTTAGACCGTAAAAAAATCAATTTAATTTAATCTTTCGCCACATTTATATATAGTTGATTTTTCATAATATGTTTTAATTGTTATGATCTGAGAGTTACTTATAAAAACGTTTATTCCTGTTTCGAGGATTTTTGGTAATGAAGACGACATTTTCATATTTTCCAGGAATGTTCGAAAACAAGTTGTACTAGCTAAATATTACTTTAAAAAACAAAATCAAAACTAGTATAAAATATTAAATATATACAAATGCGGCGAAAGATAATCGATGACTATAGGTTGTAATATCTGAATGATTTGTTTGATATCAATTTGATTTTTTTACGGTCTAAGTCGTTTGTTCCAACTTCCTCAATTTGTATGGGCGCTACGCTCTTCGGTATGAGACGACTTTAACAATTTTCTCCTTATAGACGCAACAGATAGAAGTAAGATTAGTAGCGATGAAAAGCGCTTTTTTATCGCATTAAGCCTATACCCCCTTTCATTTTTCGCGAACACTCCCTTTAAAGGAGTTTTAAATGACGTATAGAAAAGAGATTTATTACGAAGCATTGAAAGATTTAACAAAGTTGGAAATTCTTTTCTAATTTTCTTTTTTATTCATTAATCAGATACATTAACATCTTAATTCTATAATTTACTTTAAATTTTTATTTATTCCACATTCTTTTAAATAATATTCGAACCATGATCTTTGTTGAGTTTATTTTAAGTTTTCTCTGATATGTAAGAAGTTTAGTTAAAAATCTCTTTGAGTTTTCCTTATATTTCAAAATAATCAATTTAGGGTTCAACAGTTGAGGACGCTTTCTTGTCCTGCTGTTGCGGTTGCTGTGTGAGTGTTCAGGTAACAATTCAGAATTTATTCGAGTAATTTCAAGGAAATTTCCAGTAAAGTAATTTCATGTCATTTAAAAATTTAAAGAGAATGTTAAAGGAAAGGATCTGAAAACTCGCCATAAATGATGGTTTATTAATCCCTACAACTTTGCAACCAGATAGTGTAAAGTAAGACTATTTTAAGTAACAGAATTCATAATGCGAAGCGTCAGGTTTAGGAAATTAAATTTGATTAAGGGAAAATTGGTAAGGAACTAAAAGGGAATCTAAAAATATAAAGGGAATTTTATGGGATTTTAAGAGAAATTTAAAGGGAATTTGAAAGGAACGTAGAAGAGATTTCAACAGCACATAGATTTAGCCTGCTTATAAAAAGTCTCATAAATTTTTAAGACAGGGTCGACTTTGAAGTTTCGCAACCCCTTGGGCTTTGATAATGATTTTACCGCTCTAACTCACTTATGCTTTTCTGTAGGCCTTCACATGTTGCAGTTCAAAGTTCAGTTCTAAGGCAGAAGGGTTATTGACAGTACATCACGAGCGTACTGACTAATGACCCTATACTGCCTTAGAACTGAACTTTTACTTCCTTCAATAGGAATGTTATGCAAAGTACATCATATAGTATATCCATAGAGAATAGAATATATAGAGAGGAATTTAATGGAAAAAAGTGTAAAACGGCCATTTTGTTGTTCTGTTTCCATACTGCAGGTGTACTTCACATATTTATGCTATATAACCTGTTGGGCCCTGGAATATCATTATATAGAAAATCTAAAATTATTGTTAAAAGAAACCCAAATTATGAAATAGGCTGGTTTCATAATTGACCAATGATCATTTCACATAGACCTTATGCCTTTCACTTTACAAACGATGATTTTCCGTTATAACTATAAATCAAATGATGTTTTTATTCACCTAATTCATTATAAAGTTTATTTAACAGTTTAAAAAATACGAAATTGAAATGGATAGTCTAGGGAAAATACTGTATTAATGTACTCTACTGCATATAATTTGTGAACATTTACATGATTTGTACACTGAAAAAATTCATACTGAGAGATTCTTTTAATTCCTCGCTATATATTCTATTCTCTATGAGTATATCGTATTCGTGAACTGCATGTGAACTTCTTAATAGAAAAATAAATCATCCTGCGAGAAAGTTAACCCGCCTTTTAAAATCAGAATTCCTTACAAAGAAGTTTAAGGAAATACAGTGAGCGGTTAGATATTTAATTGGCTCTCTAACTTGGGGGCCCGATGACTTAAATTTACGTTAATAATCTCTAAATGCTAAAAAACTATTATTTTTTTATATCTATATATCTTTAAAAAAAACAGAAAATTTTCTCAGAAATACTTTTCAAATTTTTTTATTTCATAGATAATTTTTTTTTCAGACCGCCAACGAGGTACAGTAAGAAGAAGATTTAAATGTTCTCTGGTTAAAAACAACTTCATTCACTTACATAAATTGTAATTTGTAATCAAAGAACTGGATAAACTTAATAAACATTTTCAATTATATGATAATTTTAATAAGGGAAAATTTATTGACATTTATAAAACATTCTTATCTTTATGGATAATTATCTTAATTATGAATACGATTGCTAATGCAAAACTTTAGATAAAAACAAATAGAAATTTGAATGAATAGAAAGAGATCAGAATTCTGAAATCATGGCTCATCCCATTGAACTAAAATGGGCACACTCTCAAAATCTGTCAGGGTTTGGAGAATTACTCAATTAAACAGAGGCTAGAAACAAACACGTTGTAGTCTTTAAATGTATAGGGTCGATGACTTAGTAAGGCAAAATCAAAGGAGAAGGCTTTTGCGACACTTCAAAGTCGATCCGGTCTCTGAAAACCTCTCAGACCTCAGAAATAGCAAACTTTCATGATGAAGAATATAAGATAAAATTTAAACTTGGACCAATTGTATCAGATAGGCGCTTACCCTTTGAAATCTGGAAATCAGGAATGGCAGCTATTCACTTTTAAAAAATGTTGTTTTATTTCGAAAAATATGTTCTTGTCAAAATTGTTAAAATGTCTGTGGAACATATTCACCCTAATTGCAACGTTTGTTGATAAACAAAAGTGGATTTAAAATCATAGGGCTAAGATTTAAAAAAGAAATGGCATATGCACATTGTGATGAATTTGTGTCGAATTGTAGATTTAAGATCCCAAAATTCTGCACAGATATTCGTATCTGCAGGAGCCGTAATTAAATTCGAAAATGTTGATTTAAATTTAGCTTCCAGGTTGCGACGTTCTAAAATTACATGGTTTGTGCAATTTAGAAACTATTTTTTATAATGGAAACCAACTTCATTAAAGCTGAAAAATATCTGGAAAATGGAACCAAAGAACTTTTTCTTAATAAATCATCTCTAATTTATGAATAATTGGAAAATTGCGAAAATTAAAAAAAACATAATTTTTTTTATTGTTTTTATAAGAAAAATTGAATGCGGAACAGTATTTGTAAAACAGCATGTCATTATTATTATAAAAAGTGGATAAAGATGTAAGAATTTCTGTATACATAGCACGCGCCACCTATTTCATAGCGCAGACACCACCTACTGTCTGCCCTCCTACTCCATGCCTTCCTACTCCCTGCCTTCCTACTCCCTGCTCTCCAACTCCCTGTCCTCCTACTCCTTGCCCCCAATACTCCCTGCCCCCCTACTCCCTGCCCTACTCCCGGCCCTCCTACTCAATGTCCTCCAACTCCCTGCCCTCCAACTACCTGCTCTCCTACTCCTTCCCCCCTACTCCCTGCCCTCCTACTCCCTGCTCTCCTACTCCCTGCCCTTCTATACTTCCTGCCCTCCGATTCCCTGCCCTCATGTGCCCTCCTAATACCTGTCTTCCCACTCCTTCCCCCCTACTCTCGCCATCGTACTCCCTGCCCTCATACTGCCTGCCCTCCTACTCCCTGCCCTCTTACTCCCTGCGCTCCTACTCCCTGCCCTCCTACTTCCCTTCCTTCTACTCCCCTTCCTTCTACTCCCCTTCCTTCAACTCTTCTTCCTTCTACTCCCCGTCCTTCTACTCCTTTTCCTTGGCGCTCTATTTCCATTTGCTCTATGGTCATTTTCTCTATGGCCATTTGCTCTATCAAGTCATTTGCTCTATACGTCATTTACTCTATACGTCATTTGCTCTATATTCAATCTGCTCTATGACTAAACACGTCATTTGCTCTATAACATAAAAATACACTAAAAAATAGCTTTTATTATGAATTCCTGAGCGTAACTTGACTATGAAATGCGGGAATATTTTTTGGAAAATTCGCAAATTGCAGTTTTCATCAGTTCTTCAAAGTCCATCATGACAGCGAGACTGCTCAATAATAAGAGGGGTAAAAACTATATTTATTCTACTCTAAACAAACAGGATGTCTATCAGAACTGGAGATGTCTTGAATATAGAAGGCAGAATTGTTCTGCCATGGCTAAAACTTTCATAGATGGTAAAGATAAACTTGCCTAAGCACAGCCATCCATCAGATATTGCTCAGATAAACTTCCTGTTAGCTGAATGTGATGCATTGAATAAAGCAATAGAAAACCCTGCTTTGCCTCCTAGAGTAATTCTTGCAGAAATAGCCAATAATCTTAGGCAACAGGGTGGCCAGCTAATGCCAAAGACTTCCAGTGCATTTATACGATCTTTACAGAGGGTAAGAGTTGCTCACGGTGGGCATCCAGTCACACCACAGACCTTTACTGAAGCTGTGGAACTTCTTCCAGAGAAGTACAAGTTGACCGCTGGGGGTGAGCGTTTTCTTCGCTACTCAGGTGACACTGTGGAGAATGGTGATACAACATTTATGCTTTTTATGAGTCCAGTCGGTATAGACCTGTTGAAACAGTCCAAAGTTTGGTATGCTGATGGAACTTTCTCAACAGCTCCTGTTCCCTATGCCCAGGTGTATATTGTGTTTGGAAACACATCTTAGGGCAAGGTTTTAACCTGTGCTTTTGGAGTTCTACCTAATAAGCAGACAGTAACCTACAGATAATTTTGGACCCAGATAAAACTTGTGATAGACAGTGGTATTCAGCATGCAGTCCAAACCATCTTATCGTTGATATCGAAGCAGCTGCCATCAAGGTTTTTTTAGAGGTGTATCCTGCAGCCAAGATAACTGGTTGTCACTTTCATTTCAGGTATTATTGTAATTTCATTGTTAGAATAGACTAGAGACCAAACTATGGTGCATTTGTGATGGTTTTCTAAGAGAAGAAGGTCTTGTGCATCAAAAAGTTCATGACGCTAGGGTAAATGTTGTAGATCCTCTTGCTCCTGGTTCTGCTAGGAAACAATACTCAAAGAACAAGGAAATGTTAATATTTAACTTGGTCTCACAATAGGCACAAATAACAGACAAACAAAACTATCTCCAGGAAGTTGGCGGAATAATGAAACTGTAGGAAAAATTGTAAAATGTAAAATTGTAAAAATATTGTTTAATTATGATTAGATATTTATATAAATATGTTTATAGAGCAAATGACGTGTTTACTCATAGAGCAAATGTTGAGTAGAGCAATTGGACCATCACAGTCATAAAAATGTTTATAGAGCAAATGACCTGTTATGTCATAGATCAATTGACGCATAGAGCAGATGACATATAGAGCAAACGTCGTGATCTATGAGCTATAGAGCAAATGGTTAATAGAGCAAATGGCCATAGAGCAAAAGACCATAGAGCAAATGGAAATAGAGCAGATGTCGTAGCGCCCTTTTCCTTCTACTCCCCTTCTTTATACTTCCCTTCCTTCTGCTCCCCTTCCTTCTCCTCCCCTTACTTCTCCTCCCCTTCTTTCTACTCCCCCTCCTTCAACTCACCTTCCTTATACTCCCCTTCCTTATACTCCCCTTCCTTCTACTCCCCTCGGGCCCTCCCTTTTCCTATGACCAGAAGGTTTGGATGTTGTAGAGGGAAGATTGTCTAACCAGTCATGGATTACTCCAGGAGTACTAGGTACTCCTACAGAAGTAGTACCTCTAGGAGTAAGAGGGGCGGAACAAGAAGGTTCCTGAGGAGTAGCTGCTGGAGTACTACTCCCAGGTGTAGGACTACTCCCAAGAGTACGGTAAGATTCAACATCAATCAACTTTAAATTAACCTGAACATAATTAAACACATAGAGTAATAAAACGAAGAGGTAAGGCTAACCTCAGATGAACACAACCGACCTCCCTCTAAATTAATTAATAGAGTGGTCAGTTGTATACATCACGATATGTTAACACTTAAAAGCTTGTATTGACAAATTTTTAGATTTTCTTTCTTTATTCAAAAAGAATTCGAGAATGTTGACTGCAAACATTTGACAATTTTCAAATTTGTAGGTTTTCAATTTATTAGCTAAAAGCATAGATAAAGATAGATTGCGCATAAGACGACATTTTTCATCTTGAAAGATATAAATGTACAGAGATGTTTTAAAGATATTCCTATTATATAGATTGCCTAGGTCGGTTGTGAACACGGATATATAATAAAATGGATGGATCATAGACGAGTTTCGATGTAATTTTCTGGGTGGGGTGTTATGCAGTACATTGGAGTTCTAGCAGACAATGGACCCTG